ATTTATGATAAATAATTTATATTATAAAAAATATTTTTTTTATTGATAATTTATTTTAAAATATTAATATTTAATTAATAAATAATTATGATAAATAAAAACCAAATTAGGTAGGTGGTTAAAAAAATTCTAACAACTCCTTTGATTGAAAAAGAATCTTTAAAAATACTCACATAAAATAGAAATTTATTTTTAATATATAGAAGTTGATTAAATTTTTTCTACTATTGTATTTTTTAAGGATAAAATAAAAAAATTATATACAATAAAAAATTATTTTCAACTCTATCAATATTAACTATTCATTTATTCTGTAGCCACATTTAATTTATATTTTTGTTTAAGATTATTTATATCATTATAAGTATAAATTATTGCACTTATTAACATGTTTGTAATCTTTATTATTTCTATTTCTTTATTTTATATTATTTTAAAACAAAATTTATAGAAACATAAAATATCCCTTTTTTTTACTATATATAATAATAATAATAAAGCAAATTATATTATTGTATTACATTTTTATTACTATAATATTTTAAATTTTTTTACTAATTAATTTAATTAAAATTTTAAATATATGTCTGCCTACATATTATGTGAATCAGGTCCATTAACCTATTTATATATAGTTAAAGGTGTGGTTTTTATTCCTTATTTAAAAGACATTAAATAGACTTTAAGATTATAACAAACTTTTCAAACCGCAGAATTTAACTTCAAATAGGCATATATAGATCAAGTGGACGGGTCAAGATCAAGCCATATAAATTTGAGAAGTAAAATAGAGTCAAAGTTGGTAAAATTTAGCATAGCTAAGAGCATTTTCACATGAATGTAATTATAAGATAAAATGTTTTTCCTTGGTAATTTTTAATAGTATTTTTAGGAGAGAAAAATAAAAGTAAAAAAAAAATTCATAGGCTATACATAAGCTAATTTATAATACTAAAATTTTCAAAAATAATATATTTTGACTTATGCTTAATAAGTGTTAATTAGTTTACAATTTTTTTTCTTAAAAGTATTTATAAAAAAAAGTTTAAATTAACATAACAAATGTGAAATCTTTTAGTTGACAAGTTTAAAAGGTGATATCTTTAATTGAGTATAATTAATGTTTAGGATCTTGTAATTAATATTTTGGTTTAAATATATTTTTATTCTTTAAAAAAATAAGCGAGTTTTGTTTTTTGTTTATGTAAAAAAAAATTATTTATCATCTTTCTTAAATTTGTAAATATTATTTTTTGTTCTTTTAAGATAATTTTTTTTTATTTTTGTAAAATGAATAAATTTTGGTTTTGGATCTTATATGATATTTATTTTTTGATTTTCATCCCTTTAAAATCTAAATTTACTATTTTTTTTATTTCTAACAATAATTTTAAAGTAAATAAAAGTATTTATTTTAAGGACATATATATTTTTTAGGATACCACACACTAATATGACATCGTTAACCATTTTGGATAACATCTGATATAGTTATTTAACTTTTTAATAAACAAATACGTAATTAAAATAAATACATAATAATATGGACTTAAAATAATAATTCTAAATTTAAGAGACATAAAAAATAGATTTTTTTTTATAGAAATCAAAACAAAAATTTATTCATTTTAAAAAAACTAAAAACACATTTAAAACTATTATTTTGATTGGGTGTTGCATATGTGTAAATCTATCTATTTTCTACAATATTATCTATAGAGGATTCAAGCAGTTTTAAATTAATTATGACTTCATCTAAAATATTGTGTGGGTTATTTCACAGGCATCAAGAATTAGCTTCAAAAAAGCCATTGGAAGTGTAACTATTTCCGGACATAAGTTCTTGGGATGCCCTATTCCTTGTGGTGTTTTAATAACTCGTCTAGAATACATCAATGCATTATCCAGAGATATTGAAATCATTGGTTCAAGGGATGCCACAATCACAGGCAGCCGTTGCGGGCATGCTCCAATCTTCCTTTGGTATGCCTTAAAAAGAAGAGGCTTGATAGGACTCCAAAACGAAGTGCAAAACTGCATAATGAATGCAGTTTATTTACAAAATCGTCTACGAGATGCTGGAATTGGTGCAATGTTAAACGAGTTTAGCAATATTGTGATCTTTGAGAGGCCTCTAGATGATGAGTTTAGCCGTAGGTGGAGTTTGGCATGCAATGGAAATATTGCACATGTGGTGGTGATGCAGCATGTTACCATTCAAATGTTGGACTCCTTTGTCAGTGAATTTCTTCAAAAACGATCCATTTGGTTCAAGGATCGACGGTTTCAACCGCTATGCATTGCAAACGACATTGGTTCTCGAAACTGTGCTTGTTCAATGCACAATTCCATATCATGATTGGAAATCTATAAACTCTAATCAATAATTCATGTGTTACATTAAATTTTATTTATTTAACTGTTGAATTTAAAATTTTTTATGCATAAATTAAATTTATAAATTTTTTAAATATTTAAAAATTATTTGATACTTCGTTTCAATAATTCAAATTAATGTATAAAATAATTTTATAATTGTCTGTCAATTTGAATTAATGAAATGAAGGGTCAAATGCATGTGTCAAGTTTACAAATTTTGTTAAAAAATAAAAATTATTTGATACTTAATTTCATTAATTCAAATTAACTTATAATCATAAATTCATTTTATATTGATTTGAATTAGTGAAATAAAATATTAAATAAATTTTTAAATTTTTAAAAAAATTTACAGATATAATTTATACATTAAGAACTTTAAATTTAATACTTAAATTATTAAAATTTAATGTAAAACATGAGTTATTAAATAAAATAAATTTAAATAGTTTGATTCTTAAAGTAAGTATCTCTGTATATACATACATATGTGTGATATTTGTCTAAATGAAATAAAGGACTACAATCCCTTTAAGCATGTGATCCGGTCGTTTACGCCTTTTGGTTAAGATTTATTCAAATTTTGTTTCAATAATTTAATTTGGTTGCTAGCGGTTGTTGCTTACATAAGAAAAAAAAAGTATATATATATATA